ACGAATACTCCGTATTATGACTAAGACTAGATGTAGAGACTCTTGTATACAACTTTTTAAAAATTGGGAAATTTTACCATTTTATTCTCAATATATATTTTCTTTGATGATATTTGTTGTGAGAAATAAGCATCTTTATAAAATTAATCAAGAAATTCATGGTCTAAACACTAGGCACAATACTGACCTTCATTTTCCATCTGCTAGATTAACAATATATAATGAAGGGACATATGGTATTGGAATGAGGATATTTAACCATCTTCCTATAAATATAAAATCATTATCATATAAAATTGAATTGTTTAACCAGCATTAAAGAGATATCTTTGCTCGTGGTCATTTTATTCATTAGAGGAGTATTTTAATCAAAATAATTTGTAAATACTGATTGGATGTAAATGGGATTAACTGTATGTTATATTTTTTAATTATGTTTATCACTTAGTATTATGTGATGTTGTTTTATGATTAATGTTTAATGATTGTGACGAATGAACTTGGAGTAGTAAGAAGTAAAAGGTTGTATTTCTAACAGTGCATGAATGTATGTTGTTGTGATATGGCTTGATTTAATGTTACCCCATGTATCTTTTTATGTTTTGTATGAGATTGTATAAGTTTGACTAGCTCTATATCCTATGGGTGCTAAAGCCCCTGTACAGGATTTGTGGAGTTATTTAATAACAATAAACAATATATGTGGTTATGGTGGTTCAATATATGCAAATTGGTAAGTATGAATTTTGATTTGATGTGGTTGCGAAACAAAAGTAGACATTTGCGAACGAAGTTACAGCTCCATATTATATTTGTGTATATGAATGTTATGCTTACTGCCACAAATGAAATTAGAAACATAGAATTCTTCAAGCCTAAAATTTTTGAGGTTATCATGAACTGTCATCTAAACGATATTTGTTTTATGATATGTTCTGCAACTTTTGGTTTATCCCAAAGATTGTCTGTTGAATGTGAAGGTGTTCTAAGAGTACCGTATTGGTGTTATAATTTTTGTATTGCGTCTTGCAGTATAAACATGAAAACGAAAACAAGTGGAGCTGCTGGGTGCTTATCATCCAGCAAGCAAGGCATCAAATTCTTCAGCTTTCCAAGGAATCCAGCACGGTATGTCTGTTTTAATTCATGGTGTAATTACTTTGCTATGCATTGCTTAATCCAATGAATAAATTAAGTTTAGTGTATGTCTGTGTTCAGTTTATTCAACATAAGCCAAAAATTTAGAATGTGTACCAAGTTTGTAATGTTTACTGAAAAATTATTCCTAGGTTTTGAGACTATTTGTTCTACTTTTACAGGGCTGCAGTATGGGCTGGAAAAGTTGGAATACCCTGCAATATTCATTCTGCTAGAAGGCTGCACAATAAATATTTGTGCAGCAAACATTTCCTGGACAGTGATTTCACTACAGCCTAAAGGGTCCACCTGAACAGAGTGGCAGTTCCAGCAGAAAGCCTCAACGCTCTAGTGACTGCAGGTAAGAACCACTGAACTGTATGCTATTAACTATGTTCTCTTACGAAAGAAGTGGCTAATGAGAATAATGAGGGCTTACTTACTTATGGAGCTGAGCTCTCTTGAAGAGAAGCCAAATCTGCAGGTACTCAAGAATTTCCCAGCATTTTATGGGACCCGGGTTCATTACCGTGTTCACAAGAGCCCTTCACTGGTCCTTATCCTGAGCTAGATCAATCCAATTCATACCAGCCCATCTTATCTCTCCAAGACCCATTTCAATATTTTCCACCCACTTACGCCTTGGTCTTCCCAGTGGTCTCTTTCCTTCTGGCTTTCCCACCAATATCCCATACGCATTCCTTGTCTCCTCCATTCCTGCTACATGCCCTGCCCACCTCATCCTCCTTGACTTGATCATTCTAATTATTCTTGGAGAAGAGTACAAGTTATGAAGCTCCTCATTATGCAGTTTTCTCCAACCTCCAGTCACTTCATCTCTCTTTGGTCCAAATTTTCTCCTCAACACCCTGGTCTCAAACACCCTCAGTCTCTGTTCCTTCCATACAGAACCACAGTCAAAATTAAAGTTTTGTATGTTCTACTTCTTGTGTTTTTGGACAGCAGATGAGAAGACAAAAGGTTCTGGACTGAATGGTAGCAAGCATTACCAGAGTTCAATCTCCTCTTAATTTCCTCCTGAATCAGGTTTCAATATTTTATCATTGTTCCCAAATACCTGAATTGTGCCACATTTTCAAAACATCTGTTTCCTATCTTTATATCATGATTTTGCCCTGCATTTTGGTGATGAGACAGCAACATATACTTAGTTTTCTCAGTGTTTTCTTCTAGACCAACCTCTTTACTTGCATCAATTAAAGTTTTTGTGTTATTCTTTATGGTATCTACATTATCAAACAGTATATTGACATCATCAGCTAGGCTAACAGCTGATGTGTCCCATTTAATTTCAGTTCCACCTGGTTTCCCTGGGCATTTCTAATGGCATATTCTAAAGCAAAGTTGAAAAGGAGTGGCGATAAAGCATCTCCTTGTTTTAGACCAATCTGGATAGGAAGTTTATCAGACAAATGTTTACCTACACAAACTTTACTATATGTTTCATTTAAACAGATTTTAATCAACCCAACTAGTGTCATGGGTATCCTACACTCTATCATAATATTGTACAATACTTCCCTCCTAACTGAATCATAGGCTTTCTTGATGTCTATGAATATTTGATGTACTGTCTCATCGTTCTCCCATTCTTTCTCCAATATCTGACGATTGAAAAGATCTGGTCTGTAGTTGGTCTGTTACATCGAAACCCACACTGATGATCCCCAATAATTTTATCTATATATGGACTTAACCTTGAGAGAAAAATATTGGATAAAATTTTGTATGAAGTTGATAACAGTGATATCTCTCGATAATTACCAAAGTCAGTTTTGTCACCCTTCTTGTGAACTGGTACAATAGTAGACTCCTTCCACTGATCAAGCAATTTTTCCTTATGCCAAATAGAAGTAATTATGTAAGGTTTGAGGTTTTCACGGCGGTAACTATGAAGAAAGCAGTCTTCTGGGATTTGGCACCGTGTATATGTGGTGTTAACCGACGTTTCGGAGGAACGTATCGCCTCCATCTTCAGGGTAAAAAGAAAAATACAAGAAATCTGCAGGCGAAGAGACCGTGAGAACCGGTACAAGCAGACTGGTGTTGGAAAAATACACAGCTATGTGAGAACAGTGAAAGAAGGGGGGAAGGACAAGCCTAAATGTGAAATCAGTGGAGTGGGGGGAAAATGCGGTGGGACAGAGCAGGGTTTCGTGTTGGGTGAGAGAAAGGCAAGGTTAAAGGATGGGCAGTAACCCTTAAGCTGGGGGGGGGTTGTTATGTTAGTCGGTCATGGCCTGTGTAGCCTTCTGGATCTGGTGTCATGAACAGATGAGAGGCTTCCATGACTTGCTGAGTCAGACCCCCCCCTCTGTTCATATTTTCAGGATGGAGTTCAATCTCAACGGCTTCCGTAATAATGCGATCCATATAGCGGGTCTTGGTGGCGAGGATGGAGGTATTCTGAAGCTGAATATGGTATCCCAGATCGATGCTGTGTTCAGCTACAGCTGACTTGTCTGGATGTTCGAGATGGATGTGCCGCTGTCCACAGAGCGGCCTGTCTGCCCAATGTAGACAGGCTGCTCCGTGGACATGAGATTGAAGGAGCATCAGCGGCACATCCGTCTCGAACATCCGGACAAGACTTACCCTTCCCCCCTTCCTACACTGCTCTCACATAGCTGTCGATTATTTTTTGTTTTCTTCCATCAGATCCCCAGTTTCAAAATAATTTTCTTTAATGTGGAGATGCATCCCTGAAAATCTAACGTTTTCTTCAACTTTTTATGAACATTTTTCAGGGTAGGTCTCCATTTTTCAACTATGTAGAAGTCAATAATTGTTCTTCGCACCACAGACTCCTTAGTGATCCAAAGTGGCTAGTGGAGATTTCCTAGGTCTTTCTTTATGGGGTGTCGAAAAGGAAGTGGAAGCCCCAGATTCGATATTTTTTGTTTCTCTTATTATTCTTCTGACACTACTTTCCGATACACCTGTTGCCTTTGCTACTTCCAGTCCTCTATTCTTCACTGTAATTGCTGGCCCAGCCTCTTTCATACACTTATATACATTACTAAAAATTTCTCTTGATTGTGAATGCAACACTTTTCCACTCAGTTTACTTCTTGTAGGTGGCATGTTAAAGGAGATAGAAAAAATGTACAAATATAAATAAACAAAAAAGAAAATCAACAAATAAAAATAAACAATAAAATAAAATATTAATACAGCAAATAGAGAAAAATACACTCAAACATGACTCCAAGAGTCTGAACTTTTTAACTTGACTGGAAGAATGCTTTTAACTGAACTTGTGAGGTCTGATCGCACTGAAAACAGACGAATGACTAATCACAGCACCTCTCAACTTTCACAAATGGACCTGCCCATCCGCTGTGCAGCTTTTCCTGGACCGTCACTTCTAAATACTACAACTGTACACGGGTTTCTTCTAAACTTTTCAGCATGCTCCCTGAGCGCCATGTTTCTATTAGATTGCACATTTTTACAGTTTATACCCTTTTTTCTTCTGTTACAGATACCTATCCCACTTGTAAAGGTAGACATGAGATCTGATGGTGAAGTTGCAGGATATGCTAATGCATATTTAATATTATTAGCATCTCCGTGACCTAAATCTATGCAGTCTGGTTAACTGTTACCAATGCTATGGAAGCAGGATGTTCCCTCAACGGGTGAATCAGCCGCCCTCGAAACATTATGCAAAGAATCTCACAAACTGCACAATAGCTCATTAGACAGTAAGCTGCATAGTTTCTGTTGTGAGAACCGAAAAATCCACATCAGTATGTGTTTGTAAACACATGTGTTTGTATGTTTCCTTGCAGACTTGGGCAACTGGTCCCAGTTAGATAGTGGTACATTTGTTAAAAGTAGGGTGCTATAACACTAGGATTCTTGAAAGTGAATTTATTTACAACCCAACCATCATACATGATAAAAGTAGTTTCATGGTTATGAAACATTCTGCATTCTTTTACAACAGGAATACCAAGAATGTGGTACAAAGAGCTGAAGAAATACTTCCTGCTGGGAGAGAAAGCATGGTGAGTGTTTTGTACTTGTGTGCACAGGAAAGAGTTTTATTTGTCATCTGTCAATTCTCATTACCTAAGAAACTAAACGTTTTGTGTAAAGCTTATGTTAGGTTTCATAATCCATCTTGGTGGTTTTTATAAATGGTTTGTCACATTGTAAGGGCAAGGGCACACCTAGGAAACTGACAACAAAAATTTCCGATAACTCTTATCAGCCTGAGTTGAATACATGTTACTGAATGGAGCAGTGCAAATTGAGGAAACGGAAATGGAGCTCACAGAAAGACTGAGAAACTCAAATTCCAGGCAATGTAGCATACCAGTCTTATAACAGTTGCGTTGCCTTTTAGTTCCCTAGTGTGAACTGTTCTGAACTGTGTGCCAATGATCCATTTGTTTCTTAAGATGGCACAAAAGATTGATGAAGCTGCTAATTTTGTTTTTGTGCTGTTAAAGTGGAAAGTGGAGAGTGGCCCAAGGACTTTACAGAAGTTACACTGATTGCCTTAAAGAAAAAGACAAAAGCTACAAAATGCAGCGACCATCGCACAATAAGCCTTATTGCACATACAGCAAAGATACTTAAAAGAAGAATTGAAAGGAAAATAGAGGATGTACTTGGAGAAGATCAGTTTGGATTTAGAAGAGGAAAAGGAACCAGGGATGCAATTGGGATGATGAGAATTATAGCAGAACGAACTTTGGAGATAGATGAAGAACTGTGTGTTTGCTTCG